GGTGTGTTTCCTGTACCCGGGAGTGCTGCTATATTAAAAAGGGGTCATACACTGCCCAGTGCCTGGCACTTCAGGAAGTATTTCTGGTGTATGCTGTGTACACTCTGCTGTTGTGTTTTGGCTGCTCTTTCCCACTGGTCAGTCCTCCGCAGAGGGTTGAGGAAAGCCCAGAGTCCCCCTACTTCTCAGCCATCTTAACTCCAACCCTCTCCTTTTTTTTTTCTTCTGCACAGGTAATAGTAAGTAGCTACACTAACAAACTTCTTCCTATTTGTCTAAACTCTCAGGTGACAGAATGATGATATTCCAAGTTATTTCTACTACATGGAAGAGAATTCTTTTGTGTATTATTTATATATGTTTACATATATGTGGTATACACACACATGCACATATGTGTACATATATCATGTGCATGCTTATATATATGTAATGTACATATGTATATATATATATATATCTCTATATATATATACACACATAGATAATATTAATCACTAGCTTTTAAAGGTCTTTTACATTTTAGTATTATGACCCTAAAAACATGCACGATGAAAAATAAGTGAACCAGATGATGTCTAAAGATTCTTATTTACAGATGAAGATAAATTATCTAAGAGCTAACACTAATGCCAATGAGCTAACAAGAAGCAATTTAACAGATGAGGAGATGCTAACTGTAGCAAGGAGGATAAATCTAGAAGCTGGGAGACAAATGAGAGGATGTCACCATGTGCACACAACCGAAGTGATTTTTTCCCCCACAACAATGAAATGCTATCCCAAAATTTTGCAGTGTTAATGACAACTAAAACAACACCTATCAGAATAAATAAATCATTACTTTCAAATCAAAAAAGCAAAATGAGAAGTATAAGAACTCTTGCCTGCAAAATAGCTGTCTTGAAGTGTTATAAGTTTAAACGTATTTAAAATTGTACAATGTTTAATTTATTGAACTGTATTTGACCAGAAACATTACTTTCAATTTAGCTTTATACCTGTCAGAAATGCACTTGGCTCCATTTTCTCATTGAGTGCACAGAGATATCCCTGTGATGTATATCCTAGGCTATCCACTGGTGCCTACCTCATTTGCTCCTGCTTAACAAAAACCAGGATCACTATTACTAGGAGGAGGTATTAGTTATTGCCATTAATAATGAATAATGTCTTAGTCAAACACTTGTGTCTTAGGGATAAACAGAAAGACCATAGAAGCTATCGTCCATTATGGTAGGGAAATACAGAATTAAGTAAACAGATTTAAAATGGTACAACACTAAGACAGAGCACTGACAGGGTTTCAATTAGAGGAGTAATGTAATGCAATCCACATTTCAATAGCAGTATTCTGGCCACTGTATTGAGAAAACATTGAATACTTAGCAGGTTACCGCAACAAGACAGGTGAGAAATGAGGGTTGTAGTGCATGAGTGAAAGTGATTTCAGATACCCAGAGTCAAGACCATTTGCTGACAGATTAGATGTGGGTATGAAGACAAAAAGAAGTCAAAGAATGCCTTCAGATTTACTGCCTACAGAATTAGAAGCACAAAGTTGCCATTTCTGAAATGAGTAAGAAAACCAAAGGAACAGACTTTGAGGGAGTATCAGAAGTTTATCTCAGACTTGTTAGGTTTGATGTGATTATTAACCTTCCCAGTAGAGGTGTCTAGTAGGCAGTTACATATGAATGCAGAGTTCACAGGGCAGAGATAGGGGTTAAAGATACAAATCTGATAGCCATCAGCATACTGGACAGTATTTTATTCATGAGATGAGATCTTACCAAGAGTAAGTATAGCTAGAAAAATAGGCAAGTAAGAACTGAGCCCTGGGGCACTCCTAAATTTAGAGGTTAGAGAGAAGTCAAAGATGAAAAAAAAAAAAAAAAAAAAAAAAAAAAAAAAGAGAGAGAGACAAAAGAATTTGCCAGAAACATGGGAGGAAAATCCAATCAGGTATTTTCTAGAAGCCAAGTAAAGAAAGAGTTTCAAAAGAAAGGGAGGGAGCGAATATGTTGAGTAATAATGCTAGGTCTAGTAGGATGCAGACTGATCTATGCAGTAGATTTATCATGGTGGAATGGTAGGGGTTAAAGCCTGGTTAGCTTTGTGAGTTCAAGTGGGTTCAAGAGAGAATGAAAAGAGTTAATGGAGTAACAAGATTAGACAACTCCTTCAAAGAAATCTGCAGTAAAAAGAAATGGAAAAGTGCGTTCAAAAAAAGATATTTTAAATATGGCAGAATTAACAGCATGCTTGTTGGCTCATGAAAAATCTACATTGGAGAGCCATCCCAACACCCAAAACAACAGCAATAAAGGAAAAGGGAGACCTGTTAGAAACAGTATCTTTGAGAAGAGGATGGAATGTAGTGCAAGACATGGGGAAGACATGCTTTGTAATAAGCAAACTGGCAGTTTATTCATAGTAATGGAAAACCTAAACTGATATAGATGCAACTAAGTGAGTTCGTGTATATCAGGAGCACATGGAAGCTTTTTTCTATTTCTATTTCCTCAGTAACCTTAAAAACAAAATTATCATCTGACAGGATGGATGAGGATGAGGTGAGGAAGGTTTGAGGAGAGAGAAGATTTTAAAATGGTCATCCAGGGGGCGCCTGGGTGGCGCAGTCGGTTAAGCGTCCGACTTCAGCCAGGTCACGATCTCGCGGTCCGTGAGTTCCAGCCCCGCGTCGGGCTCTGGGCTGATGGCTCAGAGCCTGGAGCCTGTTTCCGATTCTGTGTCTCCCTCTCTCTCTGCCCCTCCCCCGTTCATGCTCTGTCTCTCTCTGTCCCAAAAATGAATAAACGTTGAAAAAAAATAAATAAATAAAAAAATAAATGGTCATCCAGGAGAGTATAGACCTGGGGACACAATGTATGACTGCCTGGAAGTATGATGGGCCCACTTAAGGTTAATAACCATCTGCAGTTATCTTCTGGGCTAGACACAGATTCTGTCATGACTCCCTTTTCTAAATCACTCACAAAAGAAGAGCAGGGAGTAAACTTTTATTCCTCTGAGCACCAATTCCTAGGAATTGATGATATATCTTTTCAGGGAAGTGTCCATTTAATCTTTTTTTTTTTTTTTTTTTAAATTTCTGTCTGCCTCATTCTGTTTAAAAAGATAAGGCACATTTTATTTAGGTTTTATTTTTTTTTTAAGTTTACTTATTTTGAGAGAGAGATGGAGAGCACGCACATGCAGGAGAGAGAGAGGGACAGAATACCAAGCAGCTCTGTGCTGTCAGCCCAGAGCCTAACACCAGGCTCGAACCCACGAACCATGAGATCATGACCTGAGCTGAAACCAAGAGTTGGATGCTCAACCAACTGAGCCACCTAGGTGCCCCATAAGGCATATTTTTTAAATCAAACTATTTTGAAGAACCAAATTATCAAACATGACAGTCACATAATAAACTGATAATGACTGAATTTGTTGCTCCAAAAATTAATATTTGTTTCTAAGCGAAATTTAGCAAAGATAACAATGCTTTATCATAACAAGGAACAAAATCAGGAAAAGGGTTGAGGCACCAAGAATGGATCATGTAGATCTATCATCTTATCTCCAATGCCTAGGGAAGCACTTGATAATTAGCACTTGAGAAAAATGTGAAATACAGAAATGAGGGGGCAAATAAGTGATGGAAAAGACTGAAAGTACAATAGGAAAGCATGAGAGTAACAGACTGAGAAAGGTTTGGGTCACTGAAAGATGGGACTCAAAAAGTGGGAAAAGTGTTCAAAAATGGTACTCTCTCAAGAGTTTCTTCTTGAAAAATAACTTATATCACTCACACATCTCTGAAAGCAGTAGATGATGTAGCACAAAAAAGAAGAAAACAAAGGCAGAATTTTGAAAGTGCATTATAAAGACAAATAGTAAAAACTTTAAAAAGCTCCCTCGTGTTCTTTCTCTTTCCCTAACTTCCCAGTAGATAGAAAACACACACACACACACACACACACAAATTTTTGTCTCTACCCAACTGTGAGATATATAATGTATATCTCAAACATTGGATAGAGACAAAACAATGCATATCAATTGATGGCTTCTATTAATTGTTTTAAAGCAAGTAAATGCAGAGAAAAACAAAAGGCAAAAAAGTGTCACACAGAAACATTTTTTCAACAATCACTCCATAAAATCTTAACTTATGTTAATCTTATACATAATGCTATTTTTTTCCAACGCAACTCTAATGGTATTAAAGGTGATAGCACTGATATAAACTTTAACATCTCAAATTAATTGTTTAATCATATATATTCATATCTCATCTTAGACTTCTCTAGTCTAAAACTGAATTTTCATTGCTCTCCCCATAAGCTCTTGAGCTACACTGACCTTATGCTTCAATTTGGCTTACCAGTTGTCCTCTGGCCTCTCTTGCCAAATCTTACACATCCTTTAAACTACTTCTTGTTCTACCCCCAAAACACCTATTTCACATCTTGCTTTAAACACTAATTTTCTTTGGAAGGGTATTTGGCATTTATGTTATCCTAGTAGGCTACACATTTGTCTATTTAGTTCCCATCACACTATATACCACACAATTATCTAATTACTTGAATGTATTCTCTAAAAATTCATGAATTCCTCTAAGGTAAATACTTGAACTTTTATTAAATTTATATAATTTATATTTATATTTCAAGTCTTGACGACACAGAACTTATGTATGGCACACAGATACCAAAAAATATTGCTGTGCTAAATAAAGTTCTATGTATCTAGAATTTATCAAAAACCTTAATTCTCTTTTTTTAATAAAAAAAAATTCTGTTAAGAATTATTCAGTATCACACTGATAATTTAGTAAGAAATTTACAAAGAAATAGGAATAAGTGGATCCATATATACAAGCTGAATGAAAAGCAGTTATTAATCTCCTATAATAATACTTTATCTTTTTTTAAATTATAACCACAAAAGCACTAAAATAATGTGATATTAGATTGTAAACATTGTACCTTGTTTTAGATCAGCATTTTTTGTAACTTCTGACAGGTAGCAGTTTGGTAAAGGATATGATGAAAACATTGGCCAAGGATACGGATCATCACCCTAAACAAGAAGACAGATAACTTTAGGAAGTAATATTAAATACTGAAGCTTAAGGCTTTTTGAAACTGGCTTTTGTTTCATATATACTAGAGTTGTAGCCTAACTAATCAAAAGGTGTTTGCTAATTACAACTCTATTCTCTGAAGGATATTAACTAAAATTAAATGTAGTAGAAATGACATTTACACAAGCACTAAAGACAAACATATGGTAACTTGTTCTAGCAACCAGGACCGATAATGATGGCTTTAGTATATTTTTTTCCATGAAAGGAAAATTACAGTCTTCAAAAGAAACCTGTATTTCCTATACTGAAATCGGAAACAAACACAAAAAACAAAACTCTATCTTGTGTTGTCAATCATTTCTCTTTTTCCTAGATTGACAAAACAAAAACATACTTAAACAAACAAAACCTTCAAGAGAAAGCCAAAGTCTATGAATACTGATGGAAGGAGAGGTACTCAATATTGCTAATTAAGTACCAAACACATATTCATCTAATAAAAATTAGGTATCATAAAAAAGACATTGAATATAATGTCATAGACACAGGAAAATGACAACTTTTAATGAAACAACACAAACTAGCTCTAACGACCACCCCTTGTCATGAATATTGGTTTCATTTCAAAGTGTTTATTTGTATCCTAAAGTTTTTCTAGTAATCAAAATTCCTCTTTATCCCACTCACCTTCTGTAGTACCCTTGGTGGCAGAATTCGTTCCATAGGCCCACCAATCAAATTTATTCTAACAAGAACATGATTTCTCTCTACAGATAAGCCATCAATTATAAAATCCCTGAAAAAAAAAATACCAATTTTGTTTTGTTTGTTTTTTTTTTTACCAATTTCGTTTTCTTAATCAAATATGATTTAATTCTAATATCAAATCAGTGGAATGTAAAAAGAAAATTTTCTATAGAAAAGTCTGGAAAATGGATTATTAACAATTAGTGCTTAAAAAGAGCTTAAATTCACTTTATCTTATAGCTTTGTCATAAAGCAAAGAATTGGTGGAGATATAACTGATACAATGAAATAAATGTTATTAATAAAATATTTTCTTGTCAAATGTTACTGCATTTAAAGAAATGGAATTAAGGTCTACATTATTTCCATGATTCTATCACATTTTAATTAGGGTTCCCTTACTAGAACCCAGTGCCTTAAACTCAAAATCTAAATGTTGCTTTTGAGCAGATTCCACACTTCCTGCAGCTGTTAATATCATCCTTTTCTACCAAATATAGAGAATCCAGTAATGTGCCTGGTCTTCTATAATTTTCCAAAACCCAGCTAGAATGGAAGCACATTTTTTTTTTTTTTTAAATCACAGACATGAGGGGCACCTGGGCGGCTCAGTCAGCTAAGTGGTCGTCTCTGGGTCTTGGTTCAGGTCATGATCTCATAGTTTGTGAGTTTGAGCCCCACATTGGGCACTGCTGACAGTGAGGAGCCTCCTTGGGATTCCCACGCTCACCTTCTCTCTCCATCCCTCCTGCATTCTCTCTCACACTCTCTCTCTCTCAAAATAAATTTAAATAAATAAATAAACAAACAGAAAATACCAGCTATTGAATATGTATTCAATAAATTCAGCCAAATTGAGGTAATGACAAATATAATAGAAAAAGATCATCAAAATATTACCATAACCTCATTTTGCAATAACCAGAATTTATGACTATGAACTAACATAATTCAGAGAATGGAGTAAAGAGTAAGTCTACAAAAGACATGAAATCAAACATTTTGTTTATTGGGTCATCTTACACATGCACACTGAATTTAAAGGTGATACAACTTCATCGAACCATTAATAAAGTTAGTCTTAAAAAAAACAAAAACAAAAAACCTAAACAACAACTTAGAAAGCAGTACTATTCAAGACTTCCCCACGAACATCTATCACTATCTTTCTGATGGTGATGTTTCTGTTTTAATTGCTTTTTACTCTTATTTAAATCTATTGAATTCAGACAGTGGAAAAACATTAAACTATATACACAAAATTACATTTTAACAGAGCATCTGTAAAGAAAACTATTGTTAATATGTCTTAACAGGGCTTGAGCAGGGAGTGTTGTTTGTTTTTACCTGTGGCTTTCAGAGTTCTCTAAGATATTTTCTTCTTGAGCATTCAGTAACACTTCAGATACTTGATACTGAGCTTCCAATAGGAGAAGAGTGTCTAGATCACAGCATACCACACCTAATAACCTATATAAAAAGGAACAATAAAAGCAGATTTTATAAAATAGATCTTATAAGTTTAGAAACTACTTTTGGTAGGTATCTCAAAGTAACATCTACACATGGGAATACAAATTTTATAAGAAAGATCACATAGTTACTTCAAAAACATTTGTAATCATTTTGATTAGTAATCGACTACAAAGGTTTTTCTCATTGGAATATTATTTAAAGACCATAGACAATTTCTATTCTAGTTTTTTAAAATTATCTAAATCTAGGAATAGTAAGTTTTCAACTACTAATTAAAAAAGTAGATAGGGAACATTAGTAAATCCTTAAAAACTACAAATTGTCACCACTTTTTATTCAGCAACTAATTACATAAGGAATGACATAATCATTTTGCTACCAGGAAATGTTCATTAGGGTGAAGTGTCAATGGCTAATTTTATAATTCTCAGATAAAGCTGAGAACACCATATCATACTGATCTATCTCTAAATACAAATGATTTCCACTTGTCTCTCAACACTGCTAAAGTGGAAATCATGTGGCTCCTACTGTGACACAAGAGGACATACACTGCACAATCTATGAAATATTCTTGCTGAGAAAACTGAATGAACCTGAAACTAACCAACAATTATTACACTGTCAGTTTACAGGAAATATAAAAATCAGAGAAATGTTAAAAGATGACCACAAGAAGGAAACAGCAACCAAATCCAGAATTTAGAGAATCCCACACATTATTATATATTATTTCTTCAGAAAAAAAGGATATAAAAAAGGGACAAGGTAACTTAAAAATTAAAAGCAAAATATCAAGCAAATGTGAAGACTTTGTTCTGATTGTGATTCAGACAAAAACTATAAAGTGCATTTGTAGTCTCATGGGAAAATATGGGTTAGGTACTAGATGAGATCATGGAAATGGTGCTGATTTTGTTAGATGTAACAGTGACAAAGTAGTAATGCTTTTTTTTTATATATATAAACAGACTTTATATGTTAGAGATACATAATGAATTGTTCATAGGTAAAATGACATATCTGGAATTTGCTTTAAAGTACTTTAAGAAAAGGGGCACCTGGGTGGCTCAGTCCAGTCAGTTAAGCATCTGCCTTTGGCTAAGGTCATGATCTCATGGTTTGTGGGTGCCAGCCCTGCGTAGAGCTCTGTGTTGACAGTTCAGAGTCTGGAGCCTACTTCAGATTCTGTGTCTCCCTCTCTTTCTGCCCCTCTCCCGTTTGTTCTGTGTCCCCCTGTAAGGGTTAAATTGTAGTGTAGGGCTAACACTTAGCTTGAAAGATAACCACTTTGTTCTGACACTGAGGGTCAAAAGATAACAGCCTTGCTTTTCCTCTTGTAAATCATAGTTCATACTCTTGTGAATCAGGCTTTACCAATGAAGGAAACAAAAGCTCAAAAAAAGAGCATCAGAGACAAGGTCAAGGAGATCCACTGGTTGCAACTTAGCAGCAGAAAGTCTAAAATAATCACCTCATTTGATAACTGTTTCTAACTCATCTGGGAACTGTTTCTCTGTTCTGTTCCCAGATAATGATAAAACGATGTGATCGGCTTTAAAAACTCTGTACCCTGGCTGTTCGGGGCCACACTCTTATCAAGAGTGTTGGTCCCGATCGGTTGGCCTTGCCTCTCATTGTAATAAACTTTGTTGCGACTGTCACTGGTGCCCGTAGCATTATGTTTCAGGAGTCGGGTGGATGCAACACCCCTCTGTCTCTTAAAAACATATACACATTAAAAAAAAATTTTTAAGTACTGAAGAAAGGGGCGCCTGGTTGGCTCAGTCGGTTAAGTGGCCAACTTCCGCTCAGGTCTGATCTCACAGTTCGTGGGTTCCAGCCTCACATCAGGCTCTGTGCTGACAGCTCAAAGCCTGGAGCCTGCTTCGGATTCTATGTCTCCCTCTCTCTCTCTGCTCCTCCCATGCTTGTGTTCTGTCTCAAAAATAAACAGACATTTTAAAAAAATACGATACTGAAGAAAAAAATATGTATGGGAATGGGAGAGAAATAAAACCAGATTGGAAAATAACTGATAACTGGTAAAGATGAGTAATGGGTACACGGAACTCTCATTATACTATTGCTCATTCTGCTTTCTAAAGTTTTAAAAATTCTATGATAAAAAAGTATATAAAAAGGATAATGTGAAGGCAATACCAGGTGGCTATGGTAATTGAGTGGTTAGGGACAATTTCTCTGAAAGGTGGCATCTGAGGTCACCCAAGAAGAAACCTTCTAATTACACATTTCTTGATTTATCTTGGAGATATTTTCAAACATAAGCATAAAACCATACTCCTAAGAACATTTACTTCAGAGTTGTGGTCATAAGTGCAAATAAAAAATTTTAAGTGTTCATTAAAAACATGATGTTTAAATGTTTGGAATAGATTTTATGGTGATATACTATGCAGGTATTAGAACAGAGCTGCTATATATGTTTAGCTAAAGAACTGTCCCCAAGGTATGTTAAGTGAAAAACGAGAGACACAAAGCATTGTATACACTGGTATCATTTGAATAACAACAGAAAAGCATTTGAATGCCATTAAGAGAAATGGTCCATGTTTAGTTTATAAAAGTAAAAACATTTTTTGCTTGATAAAATGCAATGAAACCAAAACAAAAGCCTTTTCAGAGTTCTACTTGAAGATTATAGTGTTAATTGGCATTTCCCCTGTCTCATCCTAGAAATAACTTCAAGGATTAAGGGGGGGAAGAAAAGAACTTAACATCAAAATTTTAGCCACAAAATAATTTGAAGGACAGTCAAGGGCAGCCAAAATTGAACAAATACTGCTAAGGGAGAGAAAGAAACTGAGAAAAAAAAGTTATGGCTGACCATGACATGAAAAACACAGCAAAGTAATCCCCCTCCCACACACAAACAAAAGAATTCCTGAGTAAAAACAAATTTCTCATAATTGAGGCATATAACATAGAGGAAAAACCTTATCCTCTGTTTGCAACAGTGGAAAAGGAATACACAAGACAGCAACAAGCAGCAGGAGTATCCCTGGTCCTATTATGTTTCTTAGAAGGAGGAAGGTAGAACAAGGAGTCAGACAAATCAATGATTAATTATTGGTTACAGAGATAATTATTAATAACAAAACTAACTACCTGCATATTAAGATGGGTGGGGACAACACAAAAAAGGGACAAACACACACACCCAAAACTTAGACCTAGCTAACTAGAAACATGACCCTGCTTTCTCATCAACATGAGCCTCCTACAAACATCTGATAATGAAATAATTCACATCTCTCCAAAAAGAAATACCATAAGATATACACAAAGATGCTCCAAGAAAGAAGAGGAAAATAACAGGATGAACAGATGACACATACAAATACACACACACACACACACAGAGAGGCATTTAAGCCTCTAGGCATTAAAGACTTGAAAACTATGACCAAATGATTTTCCATGAATTAAGTTGTATAAATGTATCAGAATACATTGTACAACTTATATAATGTCAGTTATATCTCAGTTTTAAAGTGTTATAGGTCAATTACCTCTTAATATAAAAAAAGTTTAATAAAAGCAATCATCTCC